TTTCCCCGCCCCCCCCCCCCCCCCCCCCCCCCCCCAAAAAAAAAAAAAAGGTTCTCTAAAGCCATCTCTCTCGATCTCGCCTAATAGTGTTGAAACCCCAGCAGTTCCGGTGACCCAGCAACTCTCTATCTCCCCCCTTACAATCGTCTGTGGTTGGTTGTTTGGTTTGGAAAATTCATGTGATTTTGTGATGAATTATGTGTAGTACAAAATTCAATTAAAAAATTATAAATAATTTTTTTTTATTTTGTGTTGTTTAAAAACGTAATTTATTAAATTAAAATTTTGTTCAAATCTAATTACCTAATCATTCTTATTTTGGATTGACATCATACCAATCTAAAGTTGGTATAAAACTGGATTATATTTTTTTTACAAGGGTGCAATGGTCATTTTATTATCTTTCATCTACACCCATGAATGAGGTCCAAAAAACAAATATTTTTCATGCAAAAATAGGATATGGTGAAAATCTATTCATTAAATCAACTCGAATTACTTTGTATTAAGTTAAATTAGATTCGAATTTAAATGCAATTCAATTCAATCCACCCAGACGATCCGAATACCTCCAGTGATTTGGAATAGATTAACCTATAAATCCAACTCAATGGACGTGGCTATCATGGATTGGGTTGGATAGAAAAGAACAAAAAAAATAATAACCTATCCAATCCATTCAAGATATCCAAACACCCCTCAAGTCACCTTTAAACTTAATGGGGGTAATATTTAAAATATTTTAAAATTTTAAATGAATAAAAATGTATTACTCAAATCTTTTATTCCATGTCAAAATCTTATATTTTGAACGTGAAAAATGCTATTTGGACTTAAAAAATTGATATAATTTATTAATCTATTGACGTGATTTTATTGGAACCATTAGATTAACATCAAGTTTTAATATTTGATAGATCCCACAATCAATCCAAAAGTTATAGTGAATTAAGTCAATAAATTAGGTCTCAATAATATTATTTTTTGAATGTTTGGTGGACTTAGTAGACTCCACTAATTTATTTATTAATTTGAAATATAAAATTTAATAAGTAATTTAATTAATATAACATTGCTCTTAAATACACCCCAACCTTTTCCATGATTACAGTGGGACAGTTGGCCACTTGCCCCCACTTTAGTTTTTTCTCTGGCTAGAAGTTCTCTCTTGCTTCTCTTGAATCTTCGGTCCGAAAGTGCACTTCCAGAGTCTTGACAAATAACTTTCCCTTCTCTCCTTTTAGAATCGTCCCACGAGTCTTCCCATTGGATTCTTTGTATTGTGGGTGGACTACTAAAACTGTATCAAAATTCTTCCGTATCAGATTCAGTGGTAGAACTATGATCCATGTGTTAGTATTATCAATTTCATTCAAGTAGACATTTGGTTCAATAACATCTTCCTGAAACTGCATCACTAGCGTCCATTTGGCAGGAATGCGTTCGGCGGAACGGGCCTGGATATATCTTTGTAGTTATGCTACAACCAACCACGCGCGCCTGCATCTTCCTTCGAACCTTCAGTGCCGGCAACAGTGCATCTGCCTCAGTCGCCTCGAAATCAAGTGATATTCTTGAAAAGGTGCGCGCACTATGCACTCGCGGCTACCTCGAAGATGCACTCTCTCTCTTCTACGCTCTCAATGCCCCTCACGCCCAGGAGTCCAAACAAACCTATGCCACTCTCTTTCACACATGTGCCAACCACAACTGCCTTCAACAAGGCCAAGCCCTACACCGCCACATGCTCACTCACAATCCCAACAACTCTTTGGACCTCTATGTGACGAACCACCTAATCAATATGTATGCCAAATGTGGTTACATAGACTTTGCCTGTCGACTGTTCGATGACATGCCTCATAGAAATATTGTTTCTTGGACTGCCATCATTTCTGGCTATGCCCAGCTTGGCAAAGCTGACCACTGTTTCACTATCTTCTCTAACATGTTAGCTGATTGCCTTCCCACCGAGTTTGCATACACAAGTGTGCTTTCTTGTTGTGAACGTGAACATGGCCGGCAAGTACATGCGCTTGCCATGAAAACCTCTTTCTATGCTTATGTTTACGTAGCAAATGCTCTCATTACCATGTATTCAAAGAGCTGTGAATATGGTATTTATAATGACAATAATAATGATGATGATATAGATGAGGCTTGGAACGTGTTCAAGTCCATGGAGTTTCGCAATCTTATCAGCTGGAATTCAATGATTGCCGGGTTTCAAATTCGTGGACTAAGTTTACAAGCTGTGAATATTTTTACCCTGATGCGCTGTGATGATATTGGTTTTGATCGTGCAACGCTTCTTGGTGTCCTTTCTTCCTTGCCAAGAAGCAATGACAATAATGGCTTATCAACTTTTAAGTGTTGTTTTCAGTTGCACTGTCTCTGTGTCAAAACGGGGTTCATATCGGATATTGGGGTGGCGACTGCCTTAGTGAAATGTTACTCTAATCATGGAGGGAAGACTGCTGATTGCTATAATATTTTTCTGGAAACAAGTGGACGCCGTGATCTTGTTTCATGGACTGTGATCATGGAAACATATGCAAGGTGGGGCTCAGAGAAAGCCCTTTTCCTTTTCAGTCAGTTGCGTCAAGAGGGCTTACATCCGGACTGTTATACATTCTCTATTCTACTAAAAGCTTGTGCCGGCCTTGTGACTGAGCAGCATGCCTTGGTTGTCCATGCACAAGTAATGAGAACTGGTTTTGCGGATGATACTGTGCTTTCAAATGCCTTAATCCATGCCTATGCGAGGTGTGGCTCAATTGCCTTGTCCAAACAAGTTTTCAACGAAATGCAGTTTCGGGACACGGTTTCTTGGAATTCAATGTTGAAGGCTTATGCCTTGCATGGGCAAGCCAATGAGGCATTGCAGTTGTTTGCACAAATGAATGTTCAACCTGATGCCACCACTTTTGTTGCCCTCCTTTCAACTTGCAGCCATTCTGGAATGGTGGAAGAAGGATGGAGAATATTCAATGCAATGTTTGAAAATTATAGGATCATTCCTCAACTTGATCATTTTGCCTGCATGGTTGATATTCTTGGGCGAGCAGGGAAAATCCTTCAGGCTCAGAATCTTATCAGCAAAATGCCAATGGAACCGGATTCTGTTGTGTGGAGTGCTTTGCTTGCAGCGTGTAGGAAACACGGTGAAACCCAGTTAGCCAACTTAGCTTCAGCGAGGCTAAAGGAGTTGGATCCAAAGAATTCATTAGGGTATGTATTAATGTCAAACATATACTGCTCAGCTGGTAGTTTTAGTGAAGCGGGTCTTAAACGGAAGGAAATGGAAGGGCTTGGTGTTAGGAAAGAACCTGGTCTAAGCTGGACTGAAGTTGGGAGTCGGGTGCATGAGTTTGCCTCTGGAGGCCAACGACACCCGCAGGGAGAGGCCATACGTGCCAATCTTGAAGAGTTAGTTGGGCAGTTAAAAGGTTTGGGTTACGTACCCCAAACAGGCCTGGCCTTGCATGACGTTGAAGAGGAGCACAAGGAGGAGCAGTTGTATTACCATAGTGAGAAACTGGCTTTGGTGTTTGCTTTGATGAATCAAGGTAGTTTGTATTGCAGTGGGAATGTTATTAAAATAATGAAGAACATCCGTATTTGTGTGGACTGTCATAACTTCATGAAATTTGCATCAGAGCTAATTCAAAGGGAGATTGTTTTGAGAGATTCGAATCGATTCCATCATTTTAATGGAACGGTATGCTCTTGCAATGACTACTGGTAAACTGGAAGCATTGGCCAGCATACCTGAACGGCATTTGTTCCTACCATCATGGTTTGCAGATCCTTCTACAGTTGGATGAGTTGGTTTCAAAGCCCATCTAAATGAATGTCTGATGTCAAAGTTTCACAAGGAAAGTTTTATTAGGCTACAAGCTGAGGTTTTCAAACTAACAGAATGATTATGGTTTAGAGTTTTTTGGTTTTGGGGGAGCTGATACCAATAATCTCACTCGAATCCTCAACCTTACCACTTCGAAAAATATTTTCCATACAAGCATGGAGCAAAGAGATCACATTTGTAGAGTTCTATTCAAGACAGATAAACTTGCTGGCTGTCAAGCTTGGGTGGGTAGATGAATTCTTTCGTGCTTGGCACATAAAAGGAAAACATAACCTGATGGCAAGGCAGCTGAAAATGGGTGTGAGACATAACCTGATGGCAATGCAGCTGGAAATCGGTGTTTCACAATGCATTATAATCTGAGTTGCTTCGACTATGGACCCTACAGGTGGAGTCTGGTTACAGATTGCGTACAACAAAGGAGAAGCAGGACATGATTACCATGGAAAACACCATGTCAGGGGACGTTCATGCACATCAATGTGGTCGTCTGAGAGATTCATTCTGTGATCTTTTAGTTTATATTTGTATTTTCTTTTTGATTCAAAGTCTATGGAGGATTTGGCGTTGAAGCAGCAATTGGAGTTTTACATGGATAGGGTTCTGAACTGCTAGGTTACAAAAGATTGCACTTGAGGTATGAGATCTTTGATGATTTCAATAATTTTTGTTTAATAAATAATGGATTTAATTCAATGTGAATAAAAATTGGATTTTTGAGAACTTTTAAGGTTTTATGCAATATTGATTAAGTTGTTAGATTTGTAAATTGATGATACGGTTACTACTCACCATTCTTTTCCCACATTCAAATTATGTAACATTATAATTAATGCTTACATACACATACATTTGTAGTTTTCACTTTTATTAATATTATTGTCTTTTTTTTAATGTTCATCACTTTTGTAGTTACTAATTGTAAAGTAAGTTGGGCAGTACAATTAGTTTTTTGCAATTTAAGATCTTTTGCATGTCTTTTTTTTTTTTTTTATTACATATTTGTTTTTTTTTTTCATCTCCGATAATCATATTGCATGCGGTCAATACTACCAACTAATTGTGAAACCTTTCAATTTTCAATTTTTTACTCCTAATAAATGATATAAATTGAATTTAATCCTTACTAGACCCTACATATTCTTGGATTAAATGTTCTACCTGCAGTTTAAATTATGTGTGTATATAAAGACTCTCCTCTTTCCCCCCTTCTAATTGTTGGACACTAAAAGAAAAATAGGTGACAATGGGGGGAGAAAAATTGCTTGATTCTTGATGAGTAATGTTAATGAAATCTTAACAACCGAATGAATTTGCAGACTTAATGATGTGATGTTAATGTAGTTCAATAGAATTATTGTGACCGCAACCGTTGAATTTTTTTAGAGCAATGCTATTAGGACATAGTTTATGGACATAATTTGGGGACATAATTAGTTGTCATCAATGAAATAATAATGAATTCATTTAACGCTATAATGGAACCCATCATTAAATATATTTCACTATCATTTCATTAGTGTCAAATTATTATGTCTCTAAATTATGTCCCAATAACATTAGTGATTTTTTTATTGAGATTCTTGTAATTGTTCTTGATCTATTTCGGACCCGCTTGTTTTTTGTATATTTCTACTTGCATTTCTCATCAGGATTGTTCCAGCGGTGTAAGAAAAAATAGCAAAAAATTGTGATCAAGTACCTTTTAAACTACTAAATTGTGAGAAAATAACTTGACTAAAATATTTTGTAGGTAAGTATCTTTGACTTGAAATGTATTGTAATTAAGTACTCATGGTTAGATTTTCAAATATTTTTTTTACTAAAATATTTTTTTTCATTCGAATGTCTGTTAGTTTGGCAGTCCCATATTTTATGATATTGGATTTATTATACTAATGATTTCATATTTTAAGGGATTAAATATATTCTTTTTATATTATTTTTTAATGTTAAACTGTTCTAGTTGTTCTCAAATTTAACAATAATGTCATTTTGCAATATTACACTCTGATGTAACATTGTCGTTCATTAAAAACAATATGACAAATTTGTGATATTATATTATGTGATGCATACTATTTAGATTATGTATGAATTAGTGAACGTAATTTCACATTTCTTTTGTCAGTGATTAAAGTGTTAATGAAAGTATTACACTATTATGTGTCATTAAAATGTCACATTATCGGCAATTTGAATTGAAACAGAAAGAAGATCGGTCTTCGATGGTGTTTTAACATTTGTATTTTTTTTTTGGTTGAAAATTAAAGGATTTTATCGTAGATTTAAAAAAAAATTTAAAAACCCATGTTTTGAGGAATATAACCGTTATTGAATTTAATGAGATTATTACATGATTTATGACAAATTTTATTTCACTNTGTGTATATAAAGACTCTCCTCTTTCCCCCCTTCTAATTGTTGGACACTAAAAGAAAAATAGGTGACAATGGGGGGAGAAAAATTGCTTGATTCTTGATGAGTAATGTTAATGAAATCTTAACAACCGAATGAATTTGCAGACTTAATGATGTGATGTTAATGTAGTTCAATAGAATTATTGTGACCGCAACCGTTGAATTTTTTTAGAGCAATGCTATTAGGACATAGTTTATGGACATAATTTGGGGACATAATTAGTTGTCATCAATGAAATAATAATGAATTCATTTAACGCTATAATGGAACCCATCATTAAATATATTTCACTATCATTTCATTAGTGTCAAATTATTATGTCTCTAAATTATGTCCCAATAACATTAGTGATTTTTTTATTGAGATTCTTGTAATTGTTCTTGATCTATTTCGGACCCGCTTGTTTTTTGTATATTTCTACTTGCATTTCTCATCAGGATTGTTCCAGCGGTGTAAGAAAAAATAGCAAAAAATTGTGATCAAGTACCTTTTAAACTACTAAATTGTGAGAAAATAACTTGACTAAAATATTTTGTAGGTAAGTATCTTTGACTTGAAATGTATTGTAATTAAGTACTCATGGTTAGATTTTCAAATATTTTTTTTACTAAAATATTTTTTTTCATTCGAATGTCTGTTAGTTTGGCAGTCCCATATTTTATGATATTGGATTTATTATACTAATGATTTCATATTTTAAGGGATTAAATATATTCTTTTTATATTATTTTTTAATGTTAAACTGTTCTAGTTGTTCTCAAATTTAACAATAATGTCATTTTGCAATATTACACTCTGATGTAACATTGTCGTTCATTAAAAACAATATGACAAATTTGTGATATTATATTATGTGATGCATACTATTTAGATTATGTATGAATTAGTGAACGTAATTTCACATTTCTTTTGTCAGTGATTAAAGTGTTAATGAAAGTATTACACTATTATGTGTCATTAAAATGTCACATTATCGGCAATTTGAATTGAAACAGAAAGAAGATCGGTCTTCGATGGTGTTTTAACATTTGTATTTTTTTTTTGGTTGAAAATTAAAGGATTTTATCGTAGATTTAAAAAAAAATTTAAAAACCCATGTTTTGAGGAATATAACCGTTATTGAATTTAATGAGATTATTACATGATTTATGACAAATTTTATTTCACTTTTTGTGTCAGATAATTGTTACTTTTAGGCATTTCTATCATCCAAAAAAAAAAATATTTTATGCTGAGTATTTTTTTACAATTAAGTGATAAATTAAATACTAATTTATACAAAACCCAAGAAATAAAGGAAGGGCTTTAGACCCTTCTACCCAATAAGACCCCATATTTAGAAGTGTGGAGTGCGGTCCAGGCCATGATAACCTAAGTCCGACAAAAAAAAATTCTAAAAAAATTCAACCCAACAAAAAATTCAATGTTATAAACACATCAAACATGATGGTGTATGTTAACGTGATCGAACAGAAGATTGGAATTACGCTTTGCAATTTGGGTTTGAGCTACTAGGCTCATGAGGACTGAGATCAATGATTTTAGGGATTGAGGTGATTTACACAATGAAAATATAATGGTTCACCAATTCGGAAGCTTAGCTAATACACTCTTCAATGGACCAGTTCGCTCCTGCTAGACTAAGCGAAGGCTATTCTTCTCAATCTTATTACTTAAGCTCTGCACCTCTTCATTGTTTTCCGTTCCTCAGAGGAGGTTGGGGAGCTTAGCTATTTTCTCCTCCTTCGTCGGATTCCCAGAATGGGTCGAAAGGTCGCTATTCCATGTGAGGGGGGATCATTCTGGCCTCTTTGGGCTGGTTGTTTCTCCTGTGGTCATTGTAAAACCTTCCGGAGTTCTTCATTTTTCTTTAACAGACGTTGATTGACCAAGTGGAGGACCTCCAACTCGTTGTTTGTGGGGGGATCCACCTAGGAGGATTGACATCGACAGTTGGAAAGAAATCTTGTGGATCTTCGTAATGTTTACTTTTGTTCTCCTGTTGATTCTGCATTCATTGGGGATTCATTTGGCTTCTGCTCATGTTGCGAGTTGAAACCATCAGTTATTGAAAAATCAGTGTACTTGTAATGAGAACTGTCGTTCTCGCAGACGACGCCAAACTGATGGTGTATGTTAACGTGGTTGAACAGAAGGTTGGAAATATGCTTTGCAATTTGGGTTTGAACTACTAGGCTCATGAGGATTGAGATCAATGATTTCAGGGATTGAGATGATTTACATAATGAAAATATAATGTTTCATCAGCTCGAAAGCTTGACTAATCCACTTTTCAATGAAGATTCTTGTTCCGTTTGTTTCAATAATCAGGAATGAAATTTACAATATGACTTTTATGTAGCTAAAAGTTCCCCCTGTTATTTGAGGTATTATACAGTATTTATAGAATTGTTCCTTGATCTATGGGATCTCTGCCAAGATCCTAGCCTTTCATTCGTGAATTTTTCCTTGATTTTTTGAGGATATTTTGGTTGGTCGAAGATTTTGTGCCTTGAATATGAATTTTTGCCACTTATAGGATTTCAGCTAACATTTAACTGTTCCATTATTATTTCTATTATTATCTCATTTGGGAGAGAGTTCTAACTCTGGTCCTCTGAGTTCTGTATATTTTGCTTGACCTCCTTGTATGACTTTTGCGCCTCAACTTATACTTTAGAAACTATTTTATGTACCATCAAAACACATCAAATATTTTGTATATGCCGTCGTCATCGGAAGACGCCGACACCCATGGCGTTGCTGTTTGCCACTGGAAAACGCATGGGTGACTTTTGCGAAGCTTCCAGATCTGAATTTCAAGTTCGACCTAGTACTCACACCTTTCCGAGAGTTTAACGAGTCGAGTTTTCGAATCGAAATCGACGAGGTCTTTGAGATCGATAATGAATCGGAGAATCCAAGCGACTTAAGCTTCAGAAACGATTCATGACTAATTTGATATGATTTTCTTCCTCATACAAAAAAATTACTTGGATTCACACCTTTGCGAAAGTGTTGAATGATGATGAAGACAAACGCAATTAGCGGCAATGACTGTGATTCCTGTAAGGAATTCACACAGAGATCTATTTGAATTTAAAATGTTAAGAAGTTATACATTTAAAGTTGATGATGTTTGGTGCCTGTATGGGTTTGAATTTGTACTATTCTTGTCCATGATAATTCCTCCT